CGATTAATGCTTCAGTCAGAGGATGATACATAGTAGGTTCTCTTGTCAGCCACTCGTCTCCGTGTTATTCCATGCATTGTTGGTAGATCGCCGGATGTTCCTTGTGGCAAACGTCATAAACGTAGACAAAATCCCGATGACTGCCGTAAACAAAGATGTAAAATCAATCCCTATTCACAGCGCCCTCGATCTTCAGACTTTAAACGAACTAGAGTCCCAAGCACATGACTGGAATGAATGGCGCTTCATCCTTGAATTGTTGTCTCTCGGAATTGTGCTCGCCGATTCAACCTCAATGCTACTATTATCACCCACCTACTCAAAATATGGCCACTGAGTGGTAAAAGGAACACTGCCACCCAAGCCCATAGCGGAAAAGGCGGTTGCAATGTGGTACAAATCGCGTAAAATGCTGTCACTCGAAATATCTGTAAAGTCGATGAACAATCAGGTCTCGTGTGCGACCGTCAGCATGCATCTCAGAATCGAGACGCAGTCAAAACACTCAGTCAAGTGATGGAGGTCTAGATTATCATCTATCTGCTGACACTGAGTGCTCTGCACACCTATTCGGAACGGTGCCAGGGTCTGTGTTAGCAGTTCAACAAAAAGCGACCGATAGCTGACCATACAAAGGTCTGGACAGACTCTCACCTGAAATTCGCATCCAACTATATGCTATATGTGCTATATGCTATATGTGGTTGCCTTCAAAGCAGGCCTAGACAGGTGCTGGCCGCGTATTTTTCCGGAATTAATATAATCCTATCCAATTTATTCGCATTGTTATCCGATGTTGATCCTTGTAAAAAGCAAAGATTGCTCTCGCTTTTGCTTCATTTCTTTTTGCAGAGGCAAGGAGAGGCGATCAAACGTCGAAGTGCCGGGGGCTCTGGTTCGCTTACCGGTACAAGAAGCTGGACGCTCGTTAGGCGGAAGCCTGTATCGTCCATGGATTTTGACCTGACCTGACCTGACCTTCTAACCTCCAGCTGAGGCCTTCACTGGCCTGTACATTAAAGCGCAAGATTTGCTGTGTAATTTAACAGATTCGTACCCGTCAGGTTCCAAAGCCTTGCGACACCGCCTCGGTAACTGAAACGTGACAGAATACTGAGATCACTGATGCTGAGATGGCTCTGCCCGGCACGATTCTCATACGAAACGATCGACCAAGCATATAAGTCTAGGTACTGCCGATGTGACTTGCAAATTGATATTATCGCCGATCAAGAAACGCAGGTTGTCGATTTTCTCTGGTGTCGTCTGCATTTGACACGTGGTGCTTCGTGTTTACTAGCAGTCGTTTACCGCCATTCGATGTCCACCTTGGAAAATGTAGTTGCTTAGCTCCTGCCATGGAGGGAGTGCTGTCACGATCATGCCACGACGTCTTTCTTGTGGAGGACTTCAGCCTGAACGCAGTCGAAGTCTCTGCTTCTCACGGCGAACAACTCAAGGCAAACTTATGGAAAGTACTCGCTGATTAAACGCTACTCAAGGATGTCATCTACGCGATTGTGAATAGGTGGCGAATCAGCTGTTTTACACCTTGTCGTCACCGACTAGGAAGTAATGGTCGACACCGTAACCATAGACGCACCGCTTGGCCATAGCGATCATGCGGCGCTGCTCTTTCGCTACGCGGAATACACCTATCAAAACAGCAAGGAGATCCACGTGGTCACCTGTTACGACATACTGTACAACACCGTCCAAGAAACTGACGGATACTTCCTAGCCGAGCAGCCGTCCGATGTCGTCCGGAGGAATTTCGTCACCCTGTTCACCGGGATAGTAGCAAATGCGTCGGAAATCGGAATTTCGTCTGAAGCAAACAAAGTTCTTCCTGATGAACCGTACTCGTGAAATGCCATGGACTAAAGGGATTCAGGCTGGCTCCTCTATAAAGCCTGTCAAAGCCTTGAGGGCTTGCATAACTATGCAACCACTACTTTAAGTTGATTCGTGAGAACAAACTTCAGCACCAACATGAATTAGCAATGAACTTCAGCACGTCAACAGGCGTCGGAGAGTGCAGCGCGGAATCGCAGTTCTACATGCAACAGATGGTTCGACACCAACCAAACAACAGGTGGCATATGCACTTCACCCACACTTACCATAGTAAACCACCATCTCACCCGCTTTGGACACAGCTCACGTCGTCCCTAGGGTTAAGGCACTTATCCTTCGTAACAGCAAATTTGATGAAAAGGCTGTTGTGCTTGCACGTGTGCAGTTCTCCTGGCGCGAACGATATAAGACCGGCATTAAGGACAGGCGCAATGAATATTGCCGATATGTTAACCCGGTTGATGAAATCCAGGTTGCGCTTATGTGGTAATATAAAAAATCTCCTATGTACAAGAGTTGTAAATGTGCGAAGCCATCAAACTGCCGTTCATTCACTCTCCTCTCGATGCTATACGAAGTTATTGGGGACATTATCACAGAGACTGCTAGGCAGAGGAATCTGGACGGAATTAACCGATATCATAGCAGGGGTCGACGTCGTCTACCTGGTCTTCTCAAAAGCGTTCATCTGCTTACACCTCCGCACTCCCCTTCACAGGCTTCGAAGCCACGGAATCGGTGAGTCTGTGCTGTTGGATAAACAATTTCATCACTCAGCGTCAGCTGAATGTGAGAGTCCGCAGCGCCATTTCCGACCCAATTGATGTCCGCGGGGTTCACTCAAAGGATTGGTACTGGGTCAAATTTTATTCCTAATTTGCAACAATGATCTTACCACTGTGCTCCTAATCTGCCTTTCTACTGTTTGCCTTTGTTCTAGTGATCTAGTATGACATAAAGACAGTGAGCGTTCACACGGCACTGCAGAGCGATCTCGACAGGGGCTAAACGTGATCATCCGGAAACCGGCTGCAGTTCAACGTGGCAAAATGCATATGAAGCCTTTCACTAGCTTAACAAAAGTCATTTCTCACATAGTCCGTGATGTACTTCTCACACGGCGTCGCCCTCCTCGTTCGTTACCCTCCATTTGACTTCGGAGAGCTCACACTATAATGGTAGCTCGGCTACACTCAACTGTGGTCATGCCTTCCTTCTTAACCGTGTTTAGTTACTACCTATTTTTTACCATTTAGGGTGCTCAGTATGTTCTATGACTGAGCCGGTTATACCATCTTCGCCTCAGATCTAACGCCCACTTTGGGCATCACGATGGAAAAAGGTCAAAAGCTCCGCCTACTCATCTACCATCCGATTTAGCGGAAATTGCGTTTATTTTTCCGGCGTTCGATAGTAATTCGCTGTTTGTCCTTGGTCATTTCACTGCCATTTCTAGTTATCCTTGAATAGGGTATCTGGAGGCGTGAATTCTACACGCTTTTACTTTAACCTACCCTTGAACGATCTATCAACGAAACTATTTTCGATTTTACTATCTTTGGATCTCTACCCATAAGTCTTCCGAAAGCTATTAACTTTGCTTTCTTACTTAGAAACGTACATAGGAGTCGCATTATATATTACAACTTTCACTTTGAGGTCGTCTTGTAGTAAGACCATGTCTGCCTCTCCCGGGGTAACAATTTCACCCGACTTCAGCTGATAAACTGAGAGTGCACGAATGGTATAACTTTTTTTAGATTGATTGAAATTGCTTTGCTGGTACTTCTGAATTAACTAATGCAGTTCGTTTGGTTTGTACCTTTGAAGTTCTTAGTGCAAGTCTGACTTGTCACCAATCCACATGAAGATCTAACTGCTGGTGTGACGATTTGATCGGTTCCATTGCCATCGTAGGAGTTCTAATCCTGGCAGCCTCCATGCTGACCATGTGAATATTCTACGTTTTACCCAACGGTGAGCAATTCACTGCTGCTGATTCTTAAGCGGTTTATGTAACCTTCTATGTATTGCTTGTCCGGATGTGTGATGGCCTTTTGGTTGGATCCGGTTGCGACATATTTCCATTAAAAGTTCATGACTGATCTTGCAAAGCTATTTGCACATTGCCTAGTAGCTGGCTGGAAGCTTACCGGAACGATGCCTATCCGTTGCTGGTAGCTCAGCTGACATGCAACTGTTGTATCTATTTTTCCTTTGTGTATTGTATTATATGTATGTATGTATGTATTTCTTTCATGTATTGCGGCACAATAACGGAGGTGTTTTCCCACCTTTAGCTGATGTGTATAATGATGAATGGTGATTTGCACATTGGTTCGTGGTTGAGCTTGATCCTAAATACCTGCTGAGGTTAGTAACGTATTTCACTGTACAGAATACACCGTTACATATTACCAAATTAGAAGTTTGTGCATCTCCATCGGTGAGCGAGTCAAAATTGGCAAAGATGATTACATTCTTAGGAGACCACACTACTGCCTACCAAAAAATGTTTTGCTCGCATTTTTAATGAAAGCTCCTTTTTAATATTTAGGTGTTTTAGGAGTAAGAATAATACTAGTATGCTTGTGTAGCCGTTCATGACTGCAGACTTTCATTCTGCTATTGAGTTCACCGATGTTTGCTTTAACGCATCATTTAGCTATCCCTATTGGCTATTTGGAGTCGTTGTTTTTGCCTTCAGATCGCATCCATACTCTGACGCTATCATTCTTACTTTAGGTCCTTTGTGTGCACTTGATTGGTACCTCATTTGTTCCCTTTTTATTGGCTTTAATTGTCCGCATGCTTTCCATAATCCGGTTGGCTTTCATGTTTGTTTGTTATGCTATATAACGAACTGGTTTCCCTATGTAAAAGAATCCTTGAATCTCTGTCCCTAGTCGTTTGCGTTCTCCCTACCGTTGGTGGGTGGAAACAGTCGCGGTGCACCGACACAACATTGGGCTCCACCCAGTCTCTGTTTACAAGAGATACAGGATGCAGTGCTACTAAATTTATATTAGTCTAGAATACTTTTGCCGTATTACTTATGAATCATGTATCTTTTCCTTCCTACTATTCATACCTTTCCGGTAGATGGCTTAAAAGTCTGACTAATTATTTATAAGCACACTTACTCCATAATCTCCATCCACCGGCTCAGTGCGGATTTGTCCATGGGCTTGGAACTTGTCCAATGTTTCAGAGCCGATTTTCTGCAAAAGGAGGTTAAACACCATCTGGCAGTCTGTGCACCTAAATATCTTTCATACCGCGCTAATCCAGTGACACATATAAAACGGGTATATGTTGTTAGATTGATATTGATATAATATTTTGTTGCGCCTTGTTATTTTCGTTTGTCCAGATGCTGCCGTAACAGACAGTCCAATCGATTTTTCTTACCATATCGCCATACCGTTGCACTTGACTCTTCAATGTGCGGGCTCTCACGCTTTTATATTGTTGTTTCAAGGTCCGGTTGTATATCGAATGCTGTGGAAGTGAATGATAAGAAAACAGTTTTATTTACTAAGCACTTTTAACACAAACAGGACGCTTTTCGAGGTGCACTGATGATGAATACATTGTTTTCACAATTTAAGACATGGCCTATAGTTCTGCATTTGAATTATTTGCCCAACTTCCGGATCTCTTGAGTTGCGGTTGGGATGCTTTGTGTAGATAGCTTATTCAATTTGGCATATGTTACTTAGAATGCTTCTGATAAGTCACTGACACAGAGGAGACTTTTTTATTTCCCAGTCTCACGGATCCCATCCATCATGTAGGACTTAAACGGCAGCGATTGGTTAGGCAACAGTCTGACAGTGTTCGGTAATTGCTCCGAGCATACAGCGCAAGTCATTTCCACCGCGCTACATTCACATCGAGGAAATATGCGTATTTAGAACCCTTTCATTGCCTTACTTCTCCGCCTCCGCAGTCGAGATACTGCTGCATACATGGATACATCAGTTGATTCCGAGGTTACGTAAGGAAACGGAATATTTGCTCATAGCGAACTTGAACAACGTGTTTCCAACTACAAATGTGGTGGTGGTCGATTGGAATAACGCTTACTCTCTTTGGCCAAATTCACGTTAATGACACGTGCTTAGATAATTATCATGCATTCAGAAGCGTTGAAATGTTGGGCCTTTCACTCTGTTTCCGGCTAACAACCCACCGAAGAGTTGCTTCACAGTCTGAATACATGGGCACTTTGTACTGCCTTCGAGCTCTCTTTTATTGCTCGAAATTTCATGCGACCCCCTAGAGCATAGAATCCGTTCAAACAAATTAATATTCGACTACCTTCCCGAGACTACTCCTATCATCGAACTCAACCATATCAACGACGTCTTTCCCTTTGGAGGAACTAGTATACCTTTTTTTATTCTATCTGTCTGTTGTGGCTCTATAGTGCTATGCTGCGGTCACTGTATTGTCATCCTCAGGAAAGATATACTGCAGTGCTAAGGCATTCCAGTCTTCATGCCATTTAGAAATGACAGCGCTTGACCTACAGGAACAGGGTCATTCGTCTTCCTGTCCCGTAATACCATACGGAAAGCTACATTGCGCGCCATCAGATTAAAGGCCTCATCATACTTAAATCAGCCCTCGTGATATAACATCAGCACTTGGTAGTAATTCTTAACGTTGTGATCTGCATGCTTTTTAACTAACGGTTGTCTTGCAGCTGCATCGATTTTTGCTCCACTTTCTTAAGGAGTTACTTCTCCGTCTGCTGACGGCACATTCAGCCTACACTCGTTTGCTCTAACCTCCGAATCATCTTACGCCAAATCCTTTACTTCGGATTGCGATTCCAGCAATTGCAAATTTTTTACGGCTTTCGCGCTCAAATTTACGCTTAAAAACCTGTTGCACTTGGGTTACATAACCAACTGTGTTACTGTGTTCGATAGAGCAATCACGTAGCCGTCCAACACACCAAGAAGTGTTGATATGCGATAAGTTTCAAAGCAATTACTTGTCCTAATGATGACTTATTTTTAAAACATCTCGTTTCTGCTTGTGAATTTGCTTCTGAGCTGCCCTACAGTTAAAAGATTATCGTGGCTGAGTTTAATTTACCAGAGATTTCAGCACCAGCAAGGCTGTTTAGCTTCTTTTCCCTAGTCCGATCTCAAGGTTGGACACAAGTGTTTTACAAACCCACCAAGGAAAACAACATACATCTCATATTTGACCAAGACATGCACCCAGTTGTGCCGAGTAGCTATCTCATTTTCCAGGTACTGATCATAGAGTCGCGTACCTTAGTTTCGCGGCACCCAATCCGGCCCCACACTATGACACAAGATTACTAACAGAGCCCGGTAGGGACTTTAAAATAGTTAACCTGGATACATTTGCTATACTGCTGCGAACTATGAACTGGGATCTTTGCTTTCTAACCAGAGATCCACAGGTTACAGCAGACGAAACATACACAATTATCCAACATTCTATTCATATTTTTGCTCCCGTAAGAAAGTTTCCACGAAAACTGCGCGTTAAGCTTGCCTTTTACTTTAGCTGAAAATACTTCGCTCAAAAAAGACAGACTCGCAACTTCTTGGTTATCAGACAGGATAAGCTCTTTGCTCAGCTGCAGTCGATTTGTGCCACAAGGCTACTAGCTGAGGAAAAGCGAGCATTGGCACATGATAACAAATCGGAAGCTTGGTTGAACTAACGAAGGCCATAAGCGACAGTCAAAACTAAATCGGTATCATGCATCCTACAACCTGACAGATCCATGGCCAAGGACCTCATCATAATGGGGAACGTCACGAATAAACACTTTTCCATTTTGTCCACTACCTCATGAAGCACACTTACGATTATCACTCTACCGATGTTGGCAAACTTAGCACAGTGCATTTCGATTGTGGTATCATTCAAGCTACGGTCTTCGTTCCATCCTGGACCTGATGGTCTACCAACATTTCTAATAAAATTTGGTGGCCGGGTTATATCGATTCGGCTTCTAAATATGTTTATCCTGCCTGTGAATTCTGAGATATTCCCGAATCAATAGGAACATTCTATCCTACGGACTAGACAAAGAATGGCTCTAAACTAGACACAAGATTACCGCCCAATTAGCCACATACCGATTATTTCGAGAAAATGGAAAGAATTGTGAAGGCGAAAACGATTATGTACTTGCCGTCATAAAATTTGATAAACCCCGTTCAATATGGCTTTTTGTAACGATACTGATGCCAGACTTGTCAGCTAACTTTTCTAAACAATCTGACAAACTATACTGACAAAGGTAAAGCAGCCATCATTCTCCCTATTGATATGCAGAAGGCCTTTAACAGAGTGCCGCACAACAGCCTCCAGGCGAAGTTAGCCAATTTCGGTATCACTGATCCCTTGCAAGCATGGTTCAAGTCTCACCCCTCTGATTGCACGCATGAGGTACAAATAAGGCATCCTAAGTCTTCACCACTGTAGGTCAACAGTAGTGTGATTTAATGTAGTGTGTTGGGTCTCTTGCTCTTCCCAATTTATTTCAATTATGTAACTGAAAGGTAACGTTTGGACATCTTATATCCTTGTGGATGACGTAAAATACCATATACACTATAGATATCTGATGTTTGAGCGATACACTAGAAAACATTCGCATAGACCTAATGACCTTGGAACCATGGCGCACCGATTGGCAAATACTCTTCTCAGCGGAAAAGTGCAGTGTCTTGAGATGCCATTGCGACTTTTCCCCAAGTGCACTTTACCTTGGTGGTAAACTTATGCCCTGTAATAAAACTACATAGTGGACCAGGCATCCGGGACTTCATCACTCTGACTTCTGGTGATCAAGTTGAATTCATAACGACCAGATCATGAAAAAGCGCAACATTCATCATAAACTTTTTTCGAGGCGTGAACTTAGACTGTAATTGTTCAAGGCCTGCGTTCGCTCTGCGTTTGAATACTGCGCGATTATTTTTACGAGCAGCAGGAAAGGCGACCGCGGGTGCCTAGAAAACGTGCGAATTTCATTCCCAAATGCTCTCTTTAACTCATCGTCCAAAGTTAACTACTATGAGCGTTGTAAGATGTTACAACTGGAGGCACCGTGGCTAGGACGCATGAAGCTAGGCTTAACATTCCTGTTGGACTTGGTTCATAAGCGTTCATTCTCATCAAATATCACTATTCATTTCAAACAAGAAGCTAGATGCGCAATTAGGAATGCCAAGGACACACCTAAAACTAATGCTCGAAAAAATTCTGCCTATACAGATACGCCGAGATAGGGAACAGCCTTCCTATTGAAATAAGAGCGTGTGAATCGCAACTAGTATTTATGAGAGCAGTTTTAAGCTGCCTAACAATGCAATACGTGCAGCAACGTTGCAACTAAACTGCAATGAACAAATGCTATATGCATATGGGTCGAGACGTGTGTTGATTACAGATATGAATAAAATGTGCTACGTAGGGTGCGCTTATAGCGCGTAGATCGTGCGCTATAAACTCGGTACGCGACTAAACGGCCAACCAAAAGTAGTGGGCAGAAGACACAAAAGTAACTTGGGAAGAAGTTTATTGGACGGGAAGAGCGTTAGCTAATGCTAAAAATAGGGCACCCAGAGAGAGCTAGCTAGGGAGAATGTCGTTGGCGTCGAGTGCGTTGACAGAGCGTCGTTCGCAGTCGAGTCGCGCGCCAAAGGCGGAGATGGCGTTCGTGTTTTCAACAAACGGGAACAACGTTCCAACAGGCAAACTGCCTAGTTCCCTAATACATAAGAAAGCTATAATTTGAATGTATTTTAGAATGGTTTACACAGTCATACGGGGGAATCTCCAGGTCGCTACACGCTTACCTGGCTAAGCCCTCCTGAAGAAGTGCATAGAAATAAGATAAAGTGTTGACAGAATCCTCTTCACTCTACTTTAACCGACCCTCTTTCCTTCTTTACTCAAAAAACATCTTCACAGACACAAGAATAAGTGAAGGTTACAGAGGAATTGCATACCGAGACTAGCAAAACAGTTCCTCTACTTTTCTGGTCCTGCTTACTTTGCAACACCTACCTTACAGCTATACTAAAATGTGGGAGCTGAGAAAGAAACACTGACTGCGTCTCTCCATTTTCATACCATTTTATCATTTGTTATTTTCTTACACGTCTTTGACTCCTTAGTTGCCCTCGTGTAAACATGTCAGACAGAACGGTGAAGCTAACTGATTCTGCTTCCAACATATCCATCCCAAATTTCCTCCTACTGCTAACACCTAGCGTACAGTCAAAGCAAAACTTCTGCGGCACTTTACGAATGCCAACCATGTTCGCCTCACACACAACAAATAAATCTCCCATTCTGTCTGTCTTCGCCCATAGATAAAGCTGCTGAACTGAAAATGATTAAATACTAGGCTTTCACTGCTCCTTTTTAGAACGCCACTATGTATGTTAAATGTTTAGCCTAAACTGGATGCTGCGCTCTGTAAGTATGAGTAC